TGAGCTTGGGGGGTGGGGGGGGGGGGGGGGGGGTGGGGGGGGGGGGAGGACACCTTTTCTAGTGATCTTGTACCTGCCTTTTACTTAATTTCCACAAGGTCAAGTATTACTTTTCATATCAGATGACATATTGGCAAAGCTAATACAGCCCCTCCCTCCCATTACTCTGTAGAAACATTAGTGTGGAGTGATGGACAAAGCAGAAAATTCTGTGCAGATGATGGTAGCTATCAGGCATTTCTCAGAGGGTACCTTGGTATTTGACATTTCAAACAAATAAGCCAAGTCCTGCAATGTGCTCAACTCCACAGCATTCAGAGGGACTTCAGCAGTTGCAGAAGGGATCAACACTCTCCTCTTGACAGTTTAGTATTTTGTGTAGCTGCAATATTATAGCAAAAAGTGCAGCTATATTTTGAATGAACCAGTTAAATGGGAAAGCCCTGCATAAATTAACCTCATAAAAAGCAACTAAGCGCCAGTCAGAAGACTGGACGTCAGAAGAGTTTGGAAAAATTGGTCACAGGACGGATCCGTGCTGTTGCTTTACTCAGTTTTTACAGTGCATCTCCTTTGCTAAAGGATGCCACAGGCACCCAGAGCTTTAGAAGGAGGCCCTGCAACACCAACGACAGGTCTACACTATGTACTATACACTTGCACTATGTGCAAGACCAGAAATCATTACCACGTCCTTGCCACAAGAGTTTGAATTCAAGACACATTAAAGAATATTTTAAAATCAGGGACAAACTTCTCTGCTCTTAACCCTTAAACCCTGTCAATCTTCATTAAGTACTGAAGGCAAAGTAACTTCGGAACACTCAAATGAGGCTGTATATGGTTTATTTGTCGGTCAGTAATTTTTTAAACACAAGGCAAATATCAATAGCTGAAAGGCACGCTTGCAGAGTATGTACAGAGCAATGTACAGCTGAATGTAAGAGGCTTTAATCTATTAGCAATTTATCTATTTTATAAAAGCAAGTCATGTTCCCCTTTAAGAAATAATTTATTGCCAATTCTGAACTAAAGCAAGGAGAATAATGTACAAAGATGCTGCTAGCACCTGGAAAGTTATTAAAAAAAGTTACACATAAAAACTGTAAGACAAACATTTATACAAAGCTAATACAAATCTGAATTGTTAGAGAATCTATGAGGTTGTTACAAAATATATTTTTTCATAAGGCTTCATGGAAGGTAAGTTCTTACTGCCACTGAAAGCGCAGGAAAGCAGTTTTAAACATTCTGCAATTCAATTATTTGTTTTCAAGTACAATGCAAAGAAATTGCAAATGGCACTGTATTGTGATGCTGTGGAATTAAAACACCCTCATCTCAGATATATCTACATCTTGGTACCATCAAATACAGAAAGACCCAAAGAGTTATCTTGTGATTAATTTAGCATGAAACACTGATCATTCTGAAACAGGAAATGTTGCTGTTGGGAAAATAACTCCTGCAACCATCTTCAAAGATAAATGCCTAGAAATTTTTTACTAGCTTGGCAACCAGCAGGAAAGTTAAGAGGTGCACAACTATTGCAGCCTTCAAGTGGCAACTTGCTTATAAACTCATAGGGCCATATCCCTGCAAAGGGCTGCGTTCAAAACTATCAGGTTTTTTTTTTTTCCTTTTTAAAGTTTTACATTCATTAATGGGAGGATGAAATAAAGCCGACAACTTAAGCAGAAACTTTGGAAAGACTCTGGAGTTCAAAATACTGACTCAGTATCATCCAGAAGTCAGGAAATGCTTCGAGCACATCTGCAGTATTTTTGGTTTGCTAGAACCCTGGATGACAAGATTAAAAATCTTTTACCAGACACTCATTAAGCAAAGGACTAAGCCTATTAGCCAGAGG